TGAACAAGATAACCAGACGTATGTCGAAAGGTGAAAGAAAAATATTGCAAATATAGACAATATTATAATAGAAATCCAAAAAGAAAATAAATTCTTACTAACAATAAAGAATGAAAAAAGAACTATATCACTTACAATCTCTAAATTATAGAAATACAATTAGTTAGCTACATGTAAATTCTAGATTTTCCATTAATTAGTTATAGAAATAGAGTTAATTAGCTAAATGTTAATTAGTTAATTTTTTTAGAAGATGTAACGTCTATTTCAATATTTAGCTATTGGTAAGGGTTATCACTAGTCAAAAGCTCTAAAAACATACATGGAAATCACCGCTACGGTAAAAGTCTTTATGACCTTAGGCACCATTTGGAAAAAGATATTTGCATTTTGCAACAATAATCAATCCTTCTTGATTGGCCTAGAAAACATTTTTAACCATCATTCAGACACGAAACAACCAACAACTGACGCCAAAAAATGTTTATAATAATAAAAAAAAAATCAAACTTTGTGTTCATACATGTTGGTGCCCAATGATTTGCATTGTTTAACAATCTTATTTGTTTTAATAACTAACAAACATAAACACAAAACCTTTATCTCACCGTTGTCTAACATTTTTGTTATGTCATATAACATAATTTTTAATAAAAAAAAATGAACACGAAACCTTTATCTCTTTGTTGTCTAACATTTTTGTCATGCCATATAAGATATTTTTCATTAAAAAAATGATTCAAAAGATCAATGTCCAAACACGAGATTTAAAACCACACTGGACTAGAACATAGAACAAAGAACAAAGAACGATGTCAATGTAATAAATACTGGAACTTCGTCTCACCCAATGTGCTCAAGGACATGCAAAGATAGATAAACAATAATTATATCACATTACATTACAACAAAGATTTGATAAAGTAATAATAAAATGGTAATAATATATAACATATATACTTATATATAACATGTATATAAACTTTTTCTTGAGTATGAAGTGAAGTCACCTACAACCCTTCAACAGATACGAAGATGAACTTGAACTTGAATTTGTCACATGTCTTGTAGTCTCGGCTCCTTTGACTCCTTTGACCGGACTTACACATTCACTAAAATCCAACACGCGTCTTTCTGTCTACAAAGGTTCCAAAATATAAATGCATAAGAAATATAGATAAATACACTATTTCACATAAGAAATATAGATAAACATACCAAGAGATTTGATGATTCTTGTTGAGTCTTTTCAGCATATCTTTTGTTTAGAATAGAATCAGGAGTTTCATCTCCTAAGACCTCTTGAGCAGTTGCATATGCAGTAGCAGTGTGCTCACTTAACTGTTTCATCAACCCAAGAGCATCATAGCTTCTTTCCCTTGGACTCACAAAGTAACCAATATCCTACAACATATGATTTTTCATTTTTAAACAACATTTTTATCCATTTAATAAATAAACAGGGTTAGATGTGAAATTACCTCAATTGTTATGTCTGTATCAACTCTTGGCCCAGGTAGAAAAGAAAACCAAGGGGATTTCCATGCAGAAGGAGATTCAAAGCTTCTCTTTAAAGGTGTTTCACTAAATCTACAAACAAAAAACAAAAAATATTACAAAAGACGTAAATGCCCTCCTCTCATCCTCTCTCTTATCATTGATAATATAGATTTTGAGCTTACATGTTAAAGTTTTCACCCCAAGTATCATTTGCTAAATTTTCAACAGCCAACTGTGATGATGATGATGATGTCATCACACTGCTTTGATCCAATAAAGATTTTGAGCTTCTTTTTTCCAAAAATTTACCATTTGACCCCTTGGGTGTATCCGATTTGTTGGTAAATTTATCAGGAGAAAAAAACGACAAATTATCCAAATTATGTTCTGTAAGAACCCCCGATGACTGAACCTGACATGTCTAAAAACAATAATCTCATTATTGATTATTCCAATATAAAAAAATTAAAAAATAAATAATCCAACCATAAATACTCACTTTCAATAAGGTCCCATCAACACCTTCTGGATTTAAATTCTCTTTATCTTCAACAAATGTTCCCAAATCTGGTTCCTTTTTTTCATCAAAAACAACTTCTAACCTAGAAAAATCTCTAGCCAAATTACAAAAGGATTCCCTCTCCACTTTCTTTTCACATCTTTTTTCAGACAAAGGCGAACACAAATCCCGATTTCGTTTCTTCAAAATCGACGGTGTGCCTGTAAAAGTCTTGGCGGCACTTTTCAGCACCGCCTCCGGACTGGCGGTTCGTGGCGACTCCCATAATCGGTACGGACTAAAACAATTCATCGATGACATCATCAACTTCCTGATTCCCAATGGACTGTATTCGTGTTGCATATCTCCACCATATTGTGCTAAATCACAGCTGAAAAACGGGATCTCTAAACTCGGAAATCGAGGTGGATCGTATGATAAAACTCCCGTTTCATTATCAATTTCACTTTTACAAGAATTTTTAGAATCATTTGTGTAATGGATTTCTTCTTCTTGTTTTTGTTCTTGTTCTTGTTCTTGTTCTTCAATTGGAGGAAAAGATTGTGGTTGAATTGGCATGTATACAGCAGACTGATAACATGAAGCTAACAACAAGTCGGAATAATATGATTGTGTGTTTAAATCAGTTTCATTGCTATTCGGATTTTCAGATTCATCTGCTGACATCAGCATAACATCTGCCACGTCATCAGCACTGATATTTTCGATTGGATATGGTAACACTGCTTCATGGTTTTGATCAAGATCTATACAGTTGATGAATTCTGATTGGTCGGTTGAATCTAGTGAAGGAATCGGAATAATCGGAATCATTTCCCAATCATGTGAGAAAGATTGGTCCATGATTAAGGAATCACGGGTCAAACTTGAAGTTGGATAAGAGTCAAAGTCATTGGGTTGACTAGAGTTTTCAGGTGGTTGACTTTCGTTTTGAGGATACATAACAATTGACATTTGGCTGCATTCTGAGATGTCTTCAGTTTCTTTTCGGATGCTTTCATCTCCACTGTGTTGTTGTTGTTGTTGTTGTGGCCATGATGTGGAAGCAGATGATTGGTTAGTTCGGGTGACAGGTGGCAATCCTTGGGAGGATTGTGGAAGCAAACCGGATGCTAAGTAGGAATCTAGTTTCTTTTTAACAGAACTGTTCCAATGATTCTTGATAGCATTATCCGATCTGAGAATCACATTAGGAATATAACTAACTTATTACCAAAGTGTTGTGTCTTTTTTCCATTAAAATCATAACCTTATACAAAATTACAAATTTGCCCTTGTTCATATCCAGGAAAAGTAAAACTAAGTGTACCTTCCAGGCAAGTATTTTGTCAACTCAGCCCACTTATTCCCATAAACTTGATGAGCATGAATCAATGCTATTTCCTCTTCTTGACTCCATGCCTCCTTGTTTATGTTAGGATTCAGATGATTATGCCACCTAAATCATAATAAATAAATAGGACATGATCAGGTCAACACAAGAACATTCTACAAGTTCATAATAGCTAAAAAAATCGCAAGATTTAAAAAAGAAATTTGTGGGTGTCTTTAAAAAAAAGTGATATGTTTATATTTTCCATTATTAGCTCCTCAACTCAAGTGTAACACCTGCAAATTTCTATTATTTATAATTTTATATTAAGGTGTAAATGGTTTTTCTTAAAAAGAATATTATAAAAGTAATCATACCTCTCACGACACTGCTTACCAATACGTCCAGGTAGGTGTTGTGCAATGGTGGACCATTTTTTAGCTCCATATTGCTCTACTAAACGAACTATTACTTCATCTTCCTGAGTACATTATAAAAAATTAAAAGAATTAGTAGTCTTTAATGGAAGATGATAGATATTACAACTTACATGTACAAATGATGTGGCAAAAAGTAGGATTAATCATCAAAAAGACAAATGTAATAGTATTTCATTATAACTGTAGTCAATTTGGCAAGTGGTTGTTTGTATGTTTATTCTTTTGGTATATATTAATATTATATATTATATTATATAACCAAAATTATGACTAACCTCTTTTGACCATGGACCTTTAACAAGCTCAGGGTTCAAAACTTTTTGCCACCGATGCAAGCACTGAACATCAGTTCGATCCTTGAAACACTCAGCTGAACATGTCATGATGTTAGGGGTAAAAAGGAGATTTGTATGAGTTTAAACACTAGTTAAGAAACTTATCCTAAATTGAGATGAACCATTAAAAAATAGGACACATGAAGAAAAAGTACCTATTTTTTTCCAGTTCTTGCCATTGAATTGCTGAACAGCTTTACATAGAATTTCATCCTAGAATTGAAGAAACATTCCATCAAGTTTAAGAATCCATCAAATATAATGTATGGAAACATAAAATGGGTGTGGTTGTGTGGAGAAAGATAGAGGAAAGAAAACAGATCTAGAGAAGCAGAATCAAAGAAACATGTGAGCATTTATGATTTACCTTGCCATAGGGTTCAAATTACCATTTGGGAGAAAAACAAGATTAGCAAAAAAGGAAAGACTATTAAGCTAAATTAAAGTTCAAATGGATCGATATAACCAACCCTAACTACATGCATAATGATATTACACAATTTACTCATATAGAAACCATAGGGTTCAAATTACCTCTTCAGCAGACCATTGCCCCTTTGTTGAACGTCTTGTAGGGCCACTAGTTCTCCTACAAAAAGTAGCATACTTTTATCAATTATACAAGGTGTAAAGGTGATGCTTTCAATCAAATCATATTATGACATTGATACATATATGTAATAAGGAATTCCTAGCTTAGTGTGCACATTAAGAGTAATAAATATCTGATAGTTTCACATTCAGCATACCCATTTAGAGATCGCATTTTTTGAAGTGGTTTGCTGAGGCCATCAGAAGAAGAACCCATCAAATCGCTTTCCATTGCTGATCTCCTTATTACATGCTTGCTTGTAAATCTCTATGTATTGTTCCCCCAAAAGCATTATCAGGTCTTAGTAATTGGGAGGAGAATCTACCTGCATAATAAAGTGTAGTAGAGAAAACAAATAAAACCCTAATCAGCATTTGAGAAGCATAAGATCACACAAAGAGAAAGGAAAGAAAAGTGAAACGGAAACTAAAGTGGAGGCTATTGTGTAAAAGAAGAAACTAAAGAAGAAACACTAATTCAGAAACAACAGAGTCCATGAGATCATATCTTTGCTAAAACTCGCTTTAATTAACCCTACCCCAGCTCTCCACAAACAAGCCTTTTAACCAGATTACTGTTAACCGATTACTGATAAACTTAATTTTCCTGCACATAGATCCGAATCCGATTAATTACAGTCATCTACAAATAACTAACAATAAGAGAAGCAGTTTGAAATATTAAAAGGAAAAAAAACCTAATAATCATCAAAAGAAAAACCCATGATTTCGAACGACGCCCGGTAAATAAAACACTGTGAGCTCAGTATGTCGATTCGTTAGTGTAAAGAGAGAAAATTTCATATTGAATCAAGCAATTTGATACTTCAAACTCTAAAAGATCATATTTTGAAGAGGTAAACGAGTTTCAAAAACGGAAAAGGAATTGATAACTTACAATAGCGTTTGAAGATCCAAGCACGAAATCAGAATGACAAAATAACACAATTACTGATAGATCTGCGATCAGACACACGCCGGCAGGGATGAGAGTGTTTCTTCGTAGAGAGAGAGAAAGAGAAGGGGAGGAGAGAGAATAAACGGTCTCCTAGAAATTCAAAAAACTAGAGAGGGCAAAGAAACAGTTCAAAATAGCATGTGTTAAAGGTCGAGCATTTTCGAAGTGTTCGATTTTAGCAACGTATCTAAAGACTTTGTTTTTATTTCGATAAAGTATAGTTATTTCTTTTTTAAAAGTTAAATAGTAGTTGATGATTATTTTATTTTTAAGTTTGTGATTTATGATTAATGTAATTGATAAATGTTTGTTTGTTGGAAAAAATATAAAAAAAAATTCTTGGCCTCAATTTAGTTTTTTTTAATATTTTTTTTATTCAATTAAATCCAAAAAACTCGTAATAGTATTCAATTTTACCATTTTACCCAGTTAACAAATTTGTAAAAAAATTTGAAATCTGAGCCAAAAATGTAATTTTTAAAAGTTGGATGACTTATTCGTCATCCAACTTTTAAAAATTACATTTTTGGCTCAGATTTCAAATTTTTTACAAATTTGGTTCAAAATTAACATTTTTGGTCCTGATTTTAAATTTTATTACAAATTTGGTCCCAATTTTACCCTTTTAGCCTAAATTTCAAAATTTTATTATGAATTCATCCTAACTTTAGTTTTTTTACAACATTTTTTCTCAAAAAAAAAATCTGAATATATTTTTTCTTTATAAAATTATATTTATATAAAAAAGAACATATTTTCACATAAAAATCTTATATTTTCTGTATAAAATCTTTTTTATATACGAAATACCTATTTATAAAAATAGGTATTTATTAAGTACATAAATATATACAAATCCATTTTCTTAAAAAAAATATACACAAACACGTATTTTACAAGAAAAAATATATACAAACATCTATACAAACATGCTTTTATAAAAAGAAATATACAAACACGTATTTTGTAAAAATATATTCAAATACGTTTATATTCAAAATGTATACAAACACGTATTTTATAAACATATATTCAAACATGTTTTCATAAACAAATGTATACAAATATGTTTTTATAAAAAAAACATGTTTTTGATAAAAAAAAATATCATTTGAGAAGTAAATTATTGACAGTTAAATTATCCTTTTAAATGTATACTTTAAATAATAGTTATATAAGAATTAATAACATAAAATAATAACTCATATTCAAAATTCAAAAGGAATTTTGATCACTGATAAAAAAATGTGCGTTTTCAAAGCAAATTAGATTTCACTGTTGGGGGTTTATCTTTTCATTACTTTTGTGTCAAAGTTGGGTGTCCAATCATACATGTTACCAAATAGAAATAATACCGAAAGAAACTATTCACACTCATCGTTTGTCGTAAGTAAAAGGCTTGTGTGTGTGTGCGCGTATATATATATATATATATATATATATATATATATATATATATATATATATATATATATATATATATATATATATGTTCAAATGTTTCTAACAACTATTGTGTTCTTGTATGGACCAATGAGAATTCAGGAAATAATAAAATAAATAAATAAATAATAAAGGGTGATTTAGTAATTTGATAAATAACTTCCACAAATACTTCCTATAATCATGTTGATTACATTGACTTTTAACCTAATTTCTCCCATTTTTATCTACAACCATTCTTTTTCCCTCACCCCATTCTTGTTTGTGTGTGTGTGTGTGCGAGAACATGTTCTTCATCATCGACAAACACTTTTGCATCTGTCGTCATCATCATCATCATCCTATCTTGCCGCTTCTCCTCCTCCTTCTCCACCGTCGGGAAATCAATTTTAAAACCCTATCAGTAAGACCAACCCCTTCACCAGTTTGTCATCGTCAATCATGGAACCCCTAGCCCTTTTAATGTTTGTTGTTTTGAATATGAAAGACACCTGCATTTGTGTTAGATAGCCGCAAGAAAAAAAAATCAACAACCTTTCCCATTTATTCGAACCCATTACCAGGTAAGTATGGTGTGTGATTTATGAATCTTGAATATTTAATTGATTTTAAATTGGTTCGACTAACTGTTCTTGTGTATTTTATGTTTTTGCTAATCAATTCTTAATATTTCTTCTTTCATTATTAATTCTTTTCTTTTCACCTTTCATTATTTAATGTGTTAATTTTTGGCGATGAATTTGGTTTATATTTTTATGGATTGTATTTTGTAGCATAATATTGCAGGAATATTTGGTTTTTGAATTATTTTAAAGATGGTTAATGTATATATGCATAGCTCCAGCCTGGAATGGACCACTTATTTGTGTAAAAGTTGAATTTTAGGTAATTTTATAAAACAATTTTGATATGGGTTTCCTCGACTACTTTTATTGATTTTGATTACGATTTTAATGTGCATTTATCTCCGACTCGGATTCAAGTTTCCAACGAGTTCAACAGGTGTAATTTTTCTTTATCATACTCCATTTGCTGGTTCTTTTTTATTTGATTTTCAAGCATCTCTCTTCACAAGGTTTCTAATGATTGTTTAAGAATGTTTGTTAAAACTTTTAGAATATGTACTTTGGTTACAGAGAAAAAGTAATGGGAAATTGTATGATGCTATTTTGGTTTTTAGTCAAATAGTTATGCTTAAGTGGATGGTAATATTTTTTTAAGGTACCCACTATTACTATGAAGAAACAAGAAAATGAGAACTTTTTTTTGGTTTACTATTTTTTTTTGAATCTCTTAAAGGTTTAAATTTGTATATATGCTAAGTGATTTGAGGATTAAATTCTATTAGAATAAATTACAATTCATTAAGGTCTACTATATTCTATCAGAATTTATAGTTTTTATTCTTTTAGAATGCACTGAATTTATTATCATTTAAAAGTTGATTTTGTTTTTTTTTGTGGATTTAGGTTTTGAAGAGGTTGTCATTGATGTGGAAAAAGAAAAAATATGGAGAACGAGAGTATATTCTAGTAGAATGTATTCTATGTATTCTGACAGAATGTATAAATTGATAGGAATTGCAAGTAACATGTTTTTAACCATTCTTAGTTTTTGTTGCATTTGTGATAGGAATGGTCGGAAGAATGACTCGAATACCTGATAAGAATGACTTGAAGAATGAGTCAAAGATTGATCACACGCACAATTTAAGAATGTTCTTATTTTTTAAGAATTACACTTGTATTTATTCATTAATTATATATTTAAGAATGTTGATTTTTGATGATATTCTTTTAGAATATGTATAAATATATTAAAATGTATAAGACTATTAGTATGTAAGAATATGTATGAATTTGTATTTAAGTTCGAATGTATATGAAAATATTAAAATGTTGTTATTCTTCAACTGGGAGTTCTAGAATTCTGTTATTCTTCATTAATATTCTAATAGAATAAAATTCTGAAAGAACATCATTCTAACAAAAAACATTCTGACGGAATAAAATCGATTATGTTTACAAATTTTGTTTAGAATTAAATTGAATTAATTTAAAAAATTCAGATTTTTAAAATTAGGAGAATTTATTATCCCTAACAATCCGAAAATTTCCTTTTTTAAATATAGTTAATTGTCCAAAATACCCTTATGATGAAATTTGTGTGATTATATGATACATGTTACCCTATTGTAATATCATAGACTCTCAGATCATGACCATTGATTTTATTCCATCTGGTGGTCCAGATCTGTGCATTCTTGTACACAATAGTTAGTAAAAACAAAATAACCTAAGCCTATACACACATACACGCACACACACGTTTACTATGAAATAGGTGTTTGTATACATTTTTTTATAAATATGTGTTTGTATACAAATATATTTATAATAAAATAAGTGTTTGTATAGATTTTTTTTGTAAAATATGTGTTTGTATATATATTTTTTATAAAAACGATTTTGTATATATTTATGTACTTAATAAATACCTATTTTTAAAAATAGTTATTTCATATACAAAAAAGTTTTTTTTTTAATTGTATAGAAAATATAAGATTTTTATGTGAAAATATGTTTTATTTGTATAAATATGACTTTTTTTTAAGAAAAAACATATTCAAAATTTTTTTTTGAGAAAAAAATTGTATAAAAACTAAAGTTAGGATGAATTCATA